AGCGGCCTCGGATGTGATGTGTAGGAATTCCAAATGTTCTTCCTTATTCGCTCCCACTGTTTTTACATCAAAGCTCCCCGTGTGGACTTGTGGTCGTCTCGGATGCTTCTGACTCGTCCTCTTTTTCTGATAAGAATGGAAGCATCAATGAATAAGTAATTATTCATATTTTCACTGATATTATTGTGATCCTGTTTGAGAAATTATAATATACTTCATATATTTTCACTACTGTGATAGGCTACTGCTAGTACACAACAGTGTTTGACAGTGTATGAAACCAGTGTTTAAATCGACACCAATCCGTACCTGGCTGTACCGTTTGGACACACTGGCCATCTTGCTCCTCATAGCCACTCGAGCAGATGCACACGTAGCTTCCTTTAGTGTTGACACACTCCTGGTGCTCCTCAGTGCATACGGACTCTGGCTGGGAACACTCGTCGATGTCTGGAAAACACAACACCTCTGATGAGGTCACCACGGACAGAAAGCTTTGCCCAATAAGTGGTAAATAAGAGCAAAAGGGTCGGACACACAGTGTAGAAATCGCAAATGTGTGTATCCAAAGCCTGATGTATCTTATTCCTCTGAATTTCAGTCTGAAGACTATTAAAGCCCATCACTGAGCCACACTGTTGCACTGGGTGACATGTTCCTTCATTATGATGAAGTGTCCTTTATATCAGTTCGATCACATACACCATCCTGGTGCCATAAATACTTACTAGCATGTATAAACCAATCAATGCACATCTGAAAATAGTCCCCCCAAAAAGCACTATTTATTTACTATTGTTTGCTAAAAACTGCAGCGCTGTTACTATTTATGCAGCTACATATATTTGTGGCCTGTTTTACAGATTTCATGCTATTTGTTGAGAAAGTTTAGAGAGTATAAGTTGAGAATATTTCCGCTTTTGAACTGTGCATACTGCAAAACACAAGTTGAATTAATATTACATTTCTGATTAAACATTGTGATTAATTCTGTGCAGCAATGGAAGAAAGGATCCTCTATACCTACAATAACATTTTGTAGTAATTTAGACACTGGTCCTTGGCTCACAAATTCTTCTAAAATTCAAAAACAGCATGAAGAGTGAAGCCCTTCAAACAGTGATTCATTTACATCATACCTGTGCAGTTGCCCTCTGTGTCTTGATACCCGCTGGCACAAGCCTGGCAGTTATCGGGGCCAGCTCCAGTGCAGCCAGCGCACACTTTGTCACAGGCTGTGAAGGACGAATAAGCAAACAACGTTGTACTACACAAGTATCACAAAATATATGGACAGCAGTAAGTTTGTGAAATATCGCAATGCATTTGCAAGAGTTCACGGCCCCAGTTTTCATAAGAAATGTTTAGAATACTCCAACCATAGTAACATTTAACAAGCAGAAAATATATCAGCATTTTTTCTACAATAGAGGAGTTACTATTGTGTCCAATTCTTACAGATCAAAATGTTGTGTGAAACAGAATGATTCATTACCCTTGCAGGAGTAGGAGCCGTCCGTGTTCAGGCAGTATTGATCCTCTGTACATGGAGAAGGCTCTGTAGAGCACTCATTTACATCTGTAACACATGAGAGGCAGTGAGGTATAGATGGTGTACACACAACATAATCTACTGAGCATTCTTTATGCATTTTACCATTTTATATCATATTTATATCAAAATAAGTGATCTGTGTTTGTTTCAAATACAGTGTGATTAACTGGCCATCCTGCATGGTTAATATAGAATTGTTGCATTTTCTATAGGGGGACACATTCTTGCGCAACACAATATTTACTTTGATTTATATTTAACTCCAAGAAGACTGTTTTTTTTTTTTAAATAAAATCTTTCCACATTACATTAAGTTTTAGCCATTTTCCGTGAAACACTAAACTCATATTTTAACATTAAAATTTTATTTTGGTCTGGAATCAATAATAGAGACAATAAGGCAAGAAACTATATAAAAAAAAGTCAATAATCCAAATACCACATTTTGAGGACAATAACACAGCATAAAGATTTCTGCAGGTGCAAGCTGAAGCCGCAGGGTATTGCTGATCAGCATTTTCAAAACTATCCACGTGCGTGTGCATGTTTTCAATTCCTCACAACAGCTGTTCCATTCATTCACCCATTTAACTGAAATACAGGAATTGTGTGTTACACTGGTCTTCACAGTTTTTTCAACATGTGAATTCCTCTCTAATCACATTGACTTTCTCTCATTTTACTCAACTTCTGGATACTTTAAGGTAATAATTGATTTTTAGCTGTTACACATGAGTTGAGCCGTTTGAAAGTCGACCAAATCTATAGATTTTAGAGTGTTTTATTTAATAAACAGTGACTTTGTTGATACATGGTATGTAGATACGTTTAAATTTCTTATGGCTCTCTTTTGAAGTAAGAAGATTGGATTTGTATTCATTTTATATGCATTTCCCCAGACAGTAAGTAAGTAAGTTATATGTGGAACTATAAAGGGAACAGTACAAGCTTTACAATGAAGCTTTATTTAGAAAATCCTTAATTATATACAGTATTGTTATTGACTTTAAAAGTTTTGCTTTGATGTCATTTAGATGTTTATTCCAGTTTGGGTGCAACAGTAAGAGATTGTCACAGTGTGAATGTCTCAGAAAATATCACAGTTTCACAGTCTAACACAAATATTATTATCACCATCATCAGTTAAAATGACCCTTAAAGGAATGTGTTTTTTTTCGGTTGAACAAATGCTTTATTACCATTTTTTTTAGATTTTATAAATATTTATATCTATATATTCTATACATTTTAAATAACACTAATATAGTAGAATAAATTATCATCATTTGCAAATAGAATCCATTTGAATATACTACATGGAGACTTTTTACTGGTCCACTTACCAACACAAGCTTCCTGGTCATCCTCCTCCCATCCTTCTTTGCACTCATCACAATCCTGATTGGTTGCTCCACTGGTGCAGGTTTTGCAGGATGTGTGGCATTCTGTAGGAGGAGGTGAAGCCCGGGTTCAGAATGACGACAGATTTTCCACTTGCTGCTTTCCTCTTGTGTGTTGTTCAGTTGTTGTGTGTGTGTGTGTGTGTGTGTGTGTGTGTGTGTGTGTATTGAAGTGTACCTGTGCACAGAGAGAATGTGTCATTCCTCACTTCGTTGAAGTAGCCGTCGATGCAGTCCAGGCAGAACTCCCCTTTATAAGCGTGGTCACAGCTGCACTTTCCGTCCCCTCCGCGAGTCCCGTCCCCGTCGCACATTCCGTTTCCGTGACAGGGTCTGTCGGAGCCCCCCACACAGGCTGCAAAGAATACAATCAGAACGACAACACACATACAAACATGTTAACAGCAGCACTACTGCCACAGGTTCCTGGGATTATTGGTTTATATATTGTTTTTAAACTACAGTAGATCTAGTCTGCCAGAACTGAAAGAATCCTTCTCACCATTGCAGTCCGGTCCAAATGTTCCCTTTGGACAGCACACTTTGATGGTTTCAATGCAGAACCATTTATGCAGATCAGGATGTTTTGTTTTCCTGTATTGCAACAGGAAATCAGACAGGAAGAGAATTACCACATTTTACCCGGTGAAACAACCTTCTCACAAACAAATTACTCTGCAGGTGTCCTTAGTCAAGCGAGCAGCGCCCACCTCTTGAACCACCAAGTTTCAAAGAGCTCTTCGTGCTCCTCTAACATGCGGTTGCACTCGAAGCTGCTGCTGTCACACAGCCCCTCCACGATCTCCATCAGACGGATCTCGCTGCAAAGGAAGCACGAGACAGAGAAGAAGTTTAAAAAGGGGTTGGAAGTAGAAATCGGCACATGCCGCCACACAGACAGTGTGATAACACAGGAAGTGTTGCGTGGACGTTGGTCCAATTCTATTCTAGCAGCCGCTCGGGCACGCAGTCAGCTAGAGATTCTAATTCATAGTTCTTATCTCAAACTTTTCTGAGGCGCTTCTTGTGCCAAGTACGACGGCCTGCAGGCTCTGGTGCAAAGCAAACACAGCTCTGATGGCCGGCTCTTGTGGCAGGGTGACCTGCAGTTTGGACAGGACAGGCTCACCTGGTCTCATATTTAGACAGTTTTCTCTCCTCCCAGGCTGTGTTGCCTCCACCAAAGTTCTGCTTTGCTGTTCTGTCAAAGCCCTAAATTATATATATATTAAAAAAAAATAGTGTCATTGTTTGCACAGAAAGAAACAGGGAAGGGTCTGAGAGAAGTTAAAGACATTTCAGCCATGTGGCACCATTGAATGTAGCAGGAAAAACAAATCATAATATGAGATCAAGATATCAGTAAAAATTCAAAACAAGACAGAGGAGAGGTGTAGAAACGTCCTCTCACCTTGTTGAAGTTATCAGTGATTTGCTGACAGGTAGAACAGGCGCTTTTAAAATCCCTCTTGGCGTTGGTGACTTGAAAAAGTAAAACAAGTGTTACACAGGACAATAGCAGCAGGAGCCGCAGCTGTGGACCGGTGGACAGCATCTCAGCCGACCAGTGCACACACTTTCATATCAGGACACACGCTGCAAGCAAGCTAATGTTAAAGTGCTGCACGGTTCGGACACATCTAAATGAGCAGTTCTTAACATTAAATCTACGTTAGCGTTATCTATGCAAAGCGCAGCAAAGTGGTATTTACATGCCGGGTGTTGGAAAAAAAAAAAAACCGATGCGGCTTTAGATTTCCGCGTCAGACTCTTGATCGAATTGTGGCTTGCGCTGATTCGCCCGGATCGCCTGTCAATCAAATGAAGAACCAATCGCAAGGCGCCACGCGCGGGACAAAAAGGTTCTTCCCCACGTGGAAATTTCAGGAAATGTAGTATTTGTATTTAAAATAATTTTGTTTTTCCCGTTGGGTGAAGTATTTGATACAATCTTTAAACATTATCTTAAATTTATTACAATAAAAATGATATAAACATTTTTAGCGATTTTGACGCGTGTTGCGCGGTTCGTTTCCTGTCTTGACCGGAAGTGATTAGAATCAGCTGTCATGGCTGAAAAGAGGAATGTTTTGGGACTGCCACTGCTGTTTTTAATAATAGCTGTGGCACTCTTGCATTTATTCATTTGTCCGTTCACTAAAGTTGAGGAGAGCTTTAATTTACAAGCGGCACACGACATTCTGTATCACAGACTTAACTTGGACAAGGTAAGCAGGTGTTAATGCATCCAGGTACTAGGTGTGCTAACAGCAACAACCTACATACAACGCTTATAGTCGGTATGTTGTTTTTTTTTAAAGGTTCACAGTTTTATAGCTTCACCATTTAAGGGGGAAATGTGTTTAAATGTGAAATTCCATAACCTAAAATAAATTAAAACCCATACTTAATGCACTACAGGGTCTTAAGTAAGATTAATGAACTAATTGGCTGTCTAAAAGTTATTTATCATTACCATGTCAGCTAAAAAATGTAGATTAAGAAACAAAATTGAGTGTCACTTTTGTTTGTATAGCCCCAAATCATACACATGTATCTTATATGTTTTACAGAACCCCTAATATGAAGTCATATAATCCTACATCACAGTATGCTCTTCATAGTATTGTATTTGCTCTCTAAAACATGTAGGTATGAATTGTAATTATTTACACAATAACAAAAGAATTGACGAAACAATCTCAGCTCAGGAACCAGTTAGTAGTTGGTAGGTAGGTCAGTAGGTGTGGCTGCATTAGTGTGGCTGCATTAGAGCCTGTGCTGTCTTTCAGTATGACCATCATGAGTTCCCTGGCGTGGTGCCACGGACTTTCCTGGGCCCCCTGTTCCTCTCCATGCTCTGCTCCCCTGTTGTGTTTCTGTCCTCTCTGCTGGATGTGCCCAAATTCTACACACAGCTGACAGGTAAAGCACTAATATGTCACTAACTGGAACTTTCCAATCCACTGATATGTTAAAAACAATGTTGCCTCTTTGGCATTAAACGCGTTCACTCTTGGTGTGTTCCGTGCAGTCCGAGCTTCCCTGGGAGTGTGTGTTATCGGAGCGCTATGGCACATGCAGAGGGAGGTGAGGAGGCAGTTTGGCTCCACAGTCGCTGGGCTCTTCTGTCTGACGTGCGCTTCTCAGTTTCACTTAATGTTCTACAGCACCAGGACGCTCCCTAATGTATTCGCACTGCCAATAGGTAAGACACAGTGATAATAATCCTTATTATCCAGAGAGTCTAGATTAAGCTTTCATTTCTCTGACTAAATCTACAAGTGACATAATAACAGAAATGTTTTTTTTTTTCCCAGTTCTGGTTGCATTCACATCTTGGATGTCACAGAAATATGGGCGGTTCATCAGCCTCTCCGCTTTAGTCATCATTGTGTTCCGGTCGGAGCTCTGCATCTTCTTGGGTCTCATGTTACTGATATCACTGCTGAGCAGGAAGCTGGGGCTGCTGCAGCTGCTTTACTATGCGGCCCCTGCTGGGATCTTGTCACTGGGTGAGCAGTGACTGTACACTATGTGAATAGTACGAACTCGGTAAACAATAAATTGTGCAAACTTTTTAATTTTCTATGCCTTTTACAGCTCTGACGGTGGCCATCGACACCATCTTTTGGAGGAAGCTGCTGTGGCCTGAAGGTCAGGTTTTGTGGTACAACACCATTCTCAACAAAAGTTCCAACTGGGGAATATCCTTTCATTTACCCGAGTACACTCTCACTCTTTTTGTTAATGTGCTACCACTGAAACTCATGAAGGATCATCTCCACCCCCCAGTTCTTCCTTGACTCTCTTCTCCCCAGTAAACCTCTCCCTTTCTGTGGTACTTTTACTCTGCTGTGCCCCGCGCTCTGGGCTGCACGCTGCTCTTTGTCCCGCTCGGCCTCCTCGACAGGCGGATGAGGCTGCTGCTGCTGCCCACCGTGGGCTTCATCCTCATCTACTCGCTGCTGCCCCACAAGGAGATGCGCTTCATCATATACACTTTCCCTGTGCTCAGCTTGGTGGCTGCCCGAGGCTGTTCTTTCATGTAAGTCGAGATGTGTAAAAATATATACATACATTTGTATCAATCAAGAACAATGTCCAGCATTAATCAGACACTCTCATTGCTATATATGCCAAATATGACCTATAGAGTACAGAAATCATTTAGAAGATAGCTAAAGTGGCAGACTGGAGTGCACAACCAGCAGCAACATACAGTACTAGCGACTGGACATGACTGGTGGATGTAGAGTATTTCTCGCTCTTAAAATAGATATAGTTTTCCAGATGTTGATATCAGTTCCATCATAGGTGTGTGAGATTATTTTCTCTTTTTATGTGAGACATTGCAAAACGGTAATGCTGACTTTCTTCTTCCTTTTGTTCTTAAGTTTGTGCAACTACCAGAAATCCTGGATGTATAAACTGGGCTCTGCGGTTGTGGTCGGCCAGCTGTTGACCAATGCAGCATACTCCAGCATTTGTCTCTATGTTTCCCACCACAACTACCCAGGGGGAAGAGGAATGCAGGAACTACACAGACTGCTGCCAGTCACAGCAGGTCAGAATCACTTTCAGCACATTTTCAGTTTCTTATAAAAGAAATCAAACACTGTTTATCATTGCCACCTTAAGGAGCTAATAAGTCAATACTTACTGAAGTTTTAATAATTGAAAATGTCTTAGCCTTTTAGTTTAGTTTTTATTATTATAAAAATAATGTGTCAGTTATCACAAAATACTGTATACTGATATAATTTATCTTTAAAAACATGCATTAAAGGTTTGTGTTTTGTTACACAATGCCTTTGTCCCCTCAGATGTCTTTGTTCATATTGACACTTACACTGCTGAAACTGGAGTTTCTCGCTTCTTGGAGCAGAACAGAAACTGGAGGCTAGTGTATTTTGTTTTTTCATTGTTTCAGATTAAAGCTTCTCAAAAACAATGCACCCAATGTAATCCCTGTAATGCTATTTTTCTTTTTACAGATATGACAAACGTGAGGACCTGAACCTCAAAAATCCTGAGATCAAAATGTACTCGCACCTACTGATGGAGGCTAATGCCACCAAGATACAGCTGCTCCAGCACACTCATCAACCTCTGGTCTTCATAGAAGGTTACAGCAGCATCGCCTTTAACATGTTTCACTTCCCTCCCGTCAGTGTACGACTGGAGAGAAAAACTGTGCTGATGGAGAGAAAGACTCCCACTGAGCTACAAAATGAGTGACTTAACAGGAATGATGTGTTGGATTAAGGAGTCATGATTTCTTAGTGACCAAAATCGGACCAATGGTGACCGAAACGAGTGTTCTTAAATGTTCTAATGGGGAAGATTGGAATTATAAGGGTATGTTTTCCAGGTATGAAAAGAATAACATGTGCATCATATGTCACATTCACAAACTGACGTGCTGCCCGAGTAGATAAATATATTGCATTGAACTGTTTTGCAATATTGAAAATTGAAAATAGTTCTCTATTCTTCATGCTGATGTATAATGCATTGCAGTTCCCATGTATAGCAAGGAAAAAATAAAATGTGTTCTTACACACAAGGACACTTTAATCTTAGACAGCTTTGTATTTTTTAACTCAGGTTGTGATTTTTATATTTTTAAGATGAATAAAGCTGAAACTGAGTGGGGGAATAAACCGATTCATAAATTGGACTTCTTTTTTTTGTTTCAAGCCTGCACGTGACTGCTAATTCTGAACATTAAAACCTATCACAATACGAAAAAACACCCTCTGCAATATTGCATAAGGAAAACCTTTATTTACAAATGACCAAAATTTGCATGGTTCCAGTCTCAATGCTAAAACATTTATCAAATTAGGTTCAGAAGTCATTTAATATAAAAATGTACAGTACATCGTTTTACTCAATAATAAACCCATAATTTAATCCCCTGGACATAAACTTAAATTGTGCTTAAGAGACAAATTGTATATTCCAAACAAACTGCTTATTCTGAAAATACAGCAATATTATACATGATCTTATTAAAAACATTTCAGCAAGTAAAAAAAAAAAAAATGAAAAAAAAAATCTATTTCTAAATGACAGTACCATGAGCCACAAATTCACAATGAAAATTAAATAACATTAACTTAAAACATCTTTCAGTCACAGCATTTATTTTTGGGCTATGTTTTCCATTTAGAAAACAACTCTGCATCTATCTTTAATACATAGTAATTGAAAAAGCATCCTGACGTGATCTGCGCAATTTAACAAAATATTTACAGCATTTTGACCTGAAGTAGTTTTGGATAAGGCACAAGGAGAGAGTAGACACGGAAAAACAAAAACATCGATTTACAAGCAAACACGTTATCACCAACCCCTACAGCTAGAAAAACCCTCCCTCCCTGATACACTTTTGTCTGAGACTTCTCATCACAACAGCTCCAAAGTGTTTAACAGTAGTACACAGAATACAATAAAACCTCCAAATCTGGCCTTTGCATTGAGAATCAATGAATCAGTGTATAAATTGATATTTTACATTTTGCCCAACAGAAAACCCCATTTCACAGCTATTCAACTTGGTCCTTGATAAAAGGGTTTTCAAGTTAATGGTCAACAATAATCAGTACTGAAAATAAATCAAAGGGAGGTTGACCTTGAGGAACAGCAGACCCTCCATGTTTTCCAGTAAAGGTCTGGGCTGATTTAGGGCACAGTTCACACTAGCTGTGCTGAACAGTGTCTCTGCTGGGATGATGCTGGGAGGACAGCCCACGTAACGGGCAGCTACTTTGGCAAGTTCGGGCCACAGGAACTTTTTCAGGTTCCAATAGTCGAGAGGGTCACAGCTTTGATCAAGTATGTCTTCCTCAAGGTACTCCAGCACTGCCAGCTCTGAGGACTTTGGCTTCTCCTCGTGTTTTATCTTTTGTCGGATGTCAGCCATTAGGGACCAGAGGCTGTCCTTGTTTGAGTGGGCGGTGTTGGATGAAACGGGGGCCTCGTTGCAACCGTTGGGCAGCGGAGGCTTAACTGCCACTGAGGTAGAAGAGGACAAGTCAAGCTCCCGGATGAGATCTTGTTTACAACTCTCTGCTTCTTCCTCTGTGAACAACGAAGTCTTGTATCGTGGGTCTAGCATGGTTGCCCAGGTGTATCGCGGGTCGTGCAGAGTTGCGGACATTCTGCTCACCATGGCTTCCTTTAGAGACTTGAGCATAGTGTCTATGCCCACAGTTTCATCAAACAGCAGGTCTATCTTTCTGTTGAGTATGTGAATGAGTGGTATGACTTGTCCCAGAGTGGCAGTGCGGTTGCTCATCTCCCTGTAGGCGACTTCGAAAGGTTTCAGTGCATTGCAGACCGACAGCATCACCTCCCACTGATCGCAGCTGATCATTTCCCTGAAATTGCACTCGATCGACATCTCGTCGATGGCTTTCTTCTGTTCCACCAGCCGCTCCAGCATGAAAAAGGAGGTCCTCCATTTGGAAGGAACATCCTGAATCAGTTGGTTCTCTGGCAGCTGGTGGACCCTCTGGAGCTCAGCCAGCTTCTCCTTGGCCTTTGCCGAGCGGTGTACACGTTCACAGATCTTTCGTGCAATACTCAGAAGGTTCTGAACCATTCTCTGGCTCTTTATGGCTTCGCTAACAATGAGGTCTATAGTGTGTCCAAAACACTGCATGGTGACATGGCCATGGTCCTCCAAGGTGTTTCTGATGGTGTTGTTATCAGTTACAGTGAACCCCTTTTTAAGCCCTGATGAGGTGATCCAAGAATCCCACAGATACTCAAGCTGCTTTGGGATGTCATGCATATCATGATCACAGTCTATTTGTGAGACACTTAGGAGAGCGGAGCAGTGAAAGTCCTGACCCTGGGGTCTGACACTTGACTCGTACGTTGCCCAGTGGGCAGTAAGGGTCAGGTATTCCCTTGTCTGGCTACTGACCCAAATACTAGTTGTGAAGTGAACAACACCACCTTCAGCCTCTTTCAGGTGAGTCAGCACAACATCCTTCACCCTTTCGTACATATCTGGTATGGCAGTGCTGGTAAAGTAAGAAGACGATGGTAGAGAATACTGAGGCTGGAGGTACTCTAGTAGTCTGTTCAGTCCAGCATTCTCCACCATAGCTGATGGCTGAAGATCCAGTGCGAGCATTTCTGCGATAAGTTTGGTGATTTTTTTGGCAACCGGGTGGTGTTCATCAAACCTCTCACAGGTCTGTTCTGTTTCATAAACAGCAGTGTCCATGAGCTCTTGTTTAACATGAATTTCAGCAGACGGCACATCACCTGAGATAGTATTGTTACTTTCAAGAACATGTCCATGAAACCTCTGCATGTGTCTGAAGAGGCAACTTGTGCCGAGGTTTGTAGTCTTTTTGCCTCTGCTAATTGTGCGGCTACAGTGCAAACAAACCACCTTTGTGGGGTCAGCAGGCGAAATGGAGAAATGGTTCCACAGTTTTGATGTCTTTTTGCTGAAAACAGGCAGGGTTTGTGGCTTTTTATCACTGGCAGGGCCCTCAGTTTCTTTGGTTGAAACTGTGTCCGTTGCGGTGAGATTGGTGTAGGGATGAGGGGAGGTTTCCTTCTCATCTGTGCTTTTTTGGTTTTTGAGGACGTCTGGGTGGCGTCTCATGAGATGCCTCATCAGACAGCTTGTTCCAAAGTCACCCCGCTTCCCCCGACTGATGACGCATGTACAGTAACGGCACAGTGCTTTTAACTGGTCAACTGGTGACACTATGAAATGGTGCCACACTTCAGATTTCACCCGTTTCATGATCTTCTTGTTTTGCTGGAAAACTGAATGATCCTGATTGAGGCTGGGGCCCTCTGGGAGGTCGCGTGGTGAGGAGGTTAGGGGTGTGTCCTCCCCCTGATTTTTGAAGGAGAGATTGAGGGAGGACTCCTGCGGCATTATCTCGTCAGATTCCTCTTTTATATCCATACTTTCCTCCATGCTTTGGGGTAATTCATCGGATATGGTTTCTGGTGACGATGGAAGAAGGGGGGATTCTTTTTTTAATTCCAGTGGATCCTGTAGTTGTGTGCGGGACAACAGTGAGGGCGGGTTTGTATAGGGTGGGGGAATGTGATTGCCCTGTCCATTTTCCTCAATGACAACCTCTTTGTGGGCCCTCCACATATGACGAATAAGACAGCTTGTCCCTAGATCCTTCCCATTTTTACCCCTACTGAATTCATTCATGCAATGGATACATACTGCTTTGGAATTATCAGCAGGCGACAGGTAGAAGTGTTTCCATACAGCTGATCTCCGACGGGAACTAGAGCTTTTAGGGGTCCCAGGAAGACGCTCGGGCCCTCCGTCTGACATATCTTCAAGGTTGTTTTCATTGGAATGTGAGGATGAAAGTGTGCTGCAAACAGTGTCGGCACACGGTTCTAGTTTTGGTTCGACTTTGGGCAACACTTCTTTGGATGACAGGTCTGAATTTTCAGCTGAGGAGGTGGACGGTGAAGTGTTCTTTGAGGCAGAAGAGATAATGCTATTTGTCATGTCTCCATTTTTTGGTGAGTTTGGGGAGGGAGGTATCAAAGATGAGGCGAGAGAGCTCGTCATGTTATTTGTAGATGTGTCTGCTCCGTCTTGGATGAGGACAGTGGGGTGAGCCCTTCGTACGTGTCTCATTAAACAACTTGTGCTGAGGTCTTTCTCGTTCTTACCCCGACTGAACTCTTTCATGCAGTATAAACAGATTGCTTTGGTACTGTCCCGCGGCGATATGCAGAAATGATTCCAGGCAGGAGATTTTTTCCTCGGGTTGGTGTTACTCCTCATGGATGACAAAAGGCTCTGGGTGACAGCATCCATGGCAACATCATAAAGGGTGCTTGTGTATCCACTTAGTAAATTACTATACTCATCACCATCTCTAGTTACAAAAGGGCCAATCGAGCTACCAAATGCCAGCCTTTCGTCATCCTGTGTTTCCTCCTCCATTCCATTTGCATCCCCGGGCTCCTCTTTGATATGTTGACTTTCTTCATTACCATTTTCCAACTTGTCACTCTCCACATTTCCCTCTATATCAGTGTTTAGGCATTTGTTTGAAAGAGTGGGAGAAGCTGGATCAGTCTCACTTGCTTGGTCTGACTCCAACTGTTTGTCATCCTGAGAAGATAAATGAAAAGAAGGGGGAGAGTCTTTATCCAGTGTTATTGAGGAGCAAGCAGGTGACTTTTCATCCGCAGCCTCATGAGGGTTAATGCTGTATGATTTGAACACATAACCATCCTGGCCCTCAATTTTCAGGCAGGTCCCTTTTGCCTCTCTTTTTTTACTTTCTACGGAGCCATTAGGTTCACTGACCATATCCTCACTCATGTGAGAGACGTCTTCCTCTCCATCCATGGCAGCAGCCCAAGGGTGTCTGTAGAATAGTCAGGTCTGCGTTGTCAAATGTAATCAGTTTTTTCAGGTGTAGTCATCAATACTGCAGTTCTCAAGCAGGTGATGTAATGAGCGTGTGGCTGTCTGGGACACAGGGTGCCTGCTTGTCCCTCTCCATTTATGACTGAAGTAGTTCCACCTCTCTGCACACAACCTACAGAAAGGGAGAGGGAAAACAGATGAAACGGTATTCTTAAGAAATAACAAGACTCCATAACAACAGGTAATATACAGTAGGTTCTGTACATGACATTTTAATTTTCTACAACTGATTGACCAAGCTCTATATACAAGGTTTGACAGCATAATGGTGTGTTTAAAGTTACAACAAACAAGTAAAATCTCTCAGAAAGTCTCAGAAAATCAACCTGCATTGACCACTTTGTTACTAACTGTAACTTTGTGGTAATAAGCATGAATGGAAATGTTTAAAATTTGCAAGTTGACAAGCACCACCCAAACACAGTATTAATTTTTGTCTCTGCCTACACCGTCTTATTTACATATACAGGTTTGGCCTGGCCTTCATGTCTTGTGGAGAACCTGCATTCAGCCACTTGACAAATGGTAATGTCCCATCAAAGGCAGGAACACCTCCCCAAGGTCCTTCTACTGAGCTGTTGCTCAATTATTTCAGCTTTCTGAATTATAATTGCCTGTGCTCATCCCCACAAATTATTATCACAACATTTCCTTACCCCCCTTTAAAGCTGTATGCAAATATGTTCCTATTTATTGGATTAATCATGCTTACCACTTAATATTCACAATATTTATACCTCATGGTACAGTAGATCTTTGCAAAAATGAAAACGTGCTACAACTGTGCATGCTGCTTAAATCTTTAATATTCTTAATATGGATCCTTGTATGTAGATTTTGTTTCATTACACCGAAACACTTGAGCAGCCGAGAGCACTGACATCTTGAGAAACTAATGACCAAAATCAGCTTGAGGGTAATGTCTGGTTAAAAAAGAACCAACGTAGTGGCTCCAGTTTTTAGAGGCACCCAGTCTGCCATTTTAACCATACAATTGGGATCCTACTAATTTATCAATGCATTATCAGCACCACACTGTCAAAATGATCCTGTCATAATGTAGGTAGATCTATATGTATGACATTAATCAATACATATTGTGAAATATTCCAAAACTATATACATTAAATTCCTAATTTATTCCATGCAGCTAAAACTAATGCAATCTAATACAGCAGTGCAATACCTTAATGAAAGGAGGTGGTTCTAATACACTTCTCACAAAAAGTTAGGGATATTCGGCTTTCGGGTGGAATTTCAGAATGTACATAAAATGCACTATAACCTTTCCAGGTGATCTTAATTTGACCTTCTACTTAAATGCTCTACTTTCATGATATAATATCACTGTAGCATCAACTTTTTACATTTTCCATAAATTTCACCCGAAAGTGGAATATCCCTAACTTTTTGTGAGTAGTGTATTTAGTATAGCCTCATTCATATAAATGGGGTAGTCAAAATATTAGAAACACCTCTCAATATATTGCCATAAACAACACCACAATCTATATGAGATGTCTGAAAAAAATATGTGTATTAAATAATCTCAATGAAAGTAGTATTTATTACAGGCCAGTTGATTTAGACTATATTAGTTTTGGCTAGGTGTACATAATAAACTTGGTGAACATGGTGTGTATTTTGTTAACAAATCACTCCGTACCCTGACTGCAGGTACAGCCCTGGTTGTGGGACCAGGTCAAATGTGGACTGATAAGATCGACTTGTGTCTCACTTTCTTAAGTCTGTGTACCATTATTTCCCTTATGTCAGTAAGTACTGCGTTATGGGCCAATGCAATAAAGATAAACCATGTTGTACATGCAGCATAAACCAAGTAAAGGGAAATATTGACACCTATTAACTACAAAATTGTGTCTTTTTTATCTTTTCCATACATGAGCAAAATATACAGACAAGACACAAGATACAGTACCTGTACATGCCAGAAACAGAAGCTCTAATAACATTGGCTTAAGTACACAAGTATCACCCAAATGCAGTGTAACTTGCAGCAAATGTCTAATAAATGGTCATAAAGACAATCGTTCATTCATCTTACTGAGTGTGGCCAGCACAACCAACTGTATCACTGATCATTCATATATTATTTCATTTAAGTGGGTAATCAAAAAAGACAGACAAACAAGTAACGTTAAGCCATTTCCTAAGTGAGCAGTGACAGACAGTTTTTCCGGGTTTGGCTAAAGTGCTAGTCAGGAAGATGCGAGAGGACAGCTCGAAACTGCTTTCATCTTCACACAACACACTAACCAGTAAAAGGTTATCCACATGCCAGCTTTCGTCGTTAACCATGTTGAGCTAACACAAATCCTGAAAACCCTCATACCAATAAATATTAAAGATTATAATCAAACATTTCTGGCAGCTACGCTACATCATCAGTAAACACCACGGTGGCTATCCTGGTAGCTAACTGGGCTAGCCGCAAGACTAATATACACACAAAAACAACACACATGTACAACACTTCTGTCACATGGGTTTGTAGCACAAATATTCAAAACAATGTAACTTCTACAACTATCCCCTTAACGTCGTAATGGTCTGGGGAAAGGCTTCTAGTAAATATCGGACCACACCACGACTGCTAGCTGGTTAGCTGCCAGCTAGGCCACACACACAGGACATACTAGCTAACCTGGCGAGGCAGAACCCAGCCGTGGCAACACACGAACCACACGGGATCCGAATCAGACCAGCGCTCACCACGACGTCCAGACCACATTAAAACCCTCATCAGACGTGTACATGTGCTCAGGATACTTACTGTGAAGTATGACGGTGGGATCACTAGGTTTCGGCTCCTAAATAGTTAAATATGACACATTTGATTGATCCGGAGGGGGGTTCACTTTGTTGCTTTTGTCTCCTGGTTTTGCTAGCAGTTCACGTTCGGCCGAAGCAGCTCCACACAGCGTCGGACGGAAGGAACATGTTTTAATGATGTCACCGGGCGCAGGGTCTTCAGTGTGGCGAAGGGGGTAAATACATTTAAGCAATATGTCACACATAACAACCTGCTTCACTTTACTTTTTCTCTAATTAAAGCCAGTTATGCGCGACAAATTATTAAAATGTCAGCTGAGTGGTCTCCCGTTACACTTGATATACAGGTTATATTACCTTATGGGACATTGTGGAAAAATGTCACTTTGTTACATATGTTACGTTGTTCTCTAATAATAATAATAATAATAACAATAACAACAACAATAAGAATAATACATTGTTATTATTCGCCAAGCCGTATATGTAGTTTTTTAACAGTCGCTAAATGACAGTTAATGGCGGTTTCGGTTTCCATAGTAATCGAACTAAATGAAAGGTTTTCTTCGAACGTAACTCGGAAACGCCCGAAGAGTGTTCGTTTAACTAACCGAACAAACATCGACGACACATACGGTAGCTTCTTACTACGAAATAATTACTGCTCAATGACTTCTGCTGCGTGTTGCATTCACGGTCTGGGGCTACAGCTTGGATTTCATATAACGTTTGGAGCATAAAATATATATTATTTATCGCCACACGTTATTATTGCTTTAAACCGACGGGGTTTCTTGACCTCAGAGATACAGTCTGGGGCGAACTGGTTTCAAGGGTGGGGCATTTAGCAGTGGTTTGTTGTTGTTCTTCCTGTGTCCTGACTGTGTCCTCTGTGACTAGAGGAGAAATGCTGAATCAATAGCCCGGACCATGACAGATATACACACACACACACACACACACACACACCAATTTGAAAGTCATATCCGCTGGTTATGACTTAACACCCCGGTACGGAGAGCCAAAAAACAGAGATAGATTCCCAGCTTTTGCTCGGACAGTGCTTCGCGCTTTGTTCGGAGCTTTGTCTGTGTACGGCTAGTAAGGCTTGACAAAAGGCAATGCATTGATTGTGTGACAGATGGGCTTTTGTGTGAAATCTACGACCCACCACCAACATGACCTCCAGCGTCACACGTAGAGTAGTGCGTACGGGTGGGAGTTGTCTGGTGAAACGCATTGTTGTGTTGGGGGATGAGCCGTCAGTGCTGCTGCTGCTGTTGCTGCTTTTTTGCTCCTGGTCGACTGTGGCTAGCGAGCGACTCCAGCCTATGAATGGTCCACAAAGCAAATAACTGTGTGTTCTCTGTGGAACTTGATATCGAAACTTCACAGGCACCAAGCAGGCATCTTTCTCTTTTTATTAGTAGCTGAACAGACCCCAGTATCGCCCGTTGGATGAGAACATTGTGTACGGAATTAGAGCCACTTAGCAGGCCGTATCGCCATTGCTTTGTAAGGCAGCTGGCTAGCTACCGTCTTCTTCAACTAGCAAAACTGTTCGTGAATCCGAGGTATGTGCTTTGGTTTTATATGCTTTTCTTAGCTTTACACGTTGGCGACGAGAAGGCACACAATGCATCTGCACAAACGCGTGTTTAATGTGACATATTATGTATGAATTAATAAACGATGTTTTTAAAGAGCTCTTGTGTTGTTTGACGCCATTTGCTCCGTTCAAGGGGGTGGCTAGCTCCTGTTGCTAGTTAGCTGGCTGGCTAATGTTATTGTTAGCAACTTGGCCACTTTGACTTTAAAGGCAATTGTATGTCTGCACCAAATGGGCAAGTGCTAACTCCTGCGCCGTCATATTGAAAGTGCCCTGTGTGGCCGCCTCCCACCGCATTTAAATGCCCCAGCTCCATTGACAAAGCTGTAACGTACAGCTGGCTACTACATTACAGTCCGTAACATAGTCACTGTAGTTTGAAGCTTCATATTCTTTCTTAATCCGGTTGTTAACTTTAAGGTCACGAAAGTATAATGCGTTTAAATCACTCAATAATTTCTGCTTGGTCAGGAGGACATTGAATTCAGTTATAATACCTAATTTCTCAGTGTGAACCAGCTAAATTATCATGGCAGTCATTCATAATGGATGTTATTACTTGTAGTAATGTCTGTATCACACATTCATTTGCTAGCCTAGTCACATGCTGTTAAGGAAAACAATTTAGGTGTTGTCATTTATGTTGCTGTTATAATGTTTTTATGGTTTTCAATCATAAATAAGTGTGGATTACACCTTTGTTTTTCTTGACCCTCGAAATGCAGCTACCTCATTGCCTTCTCTCTGCCCTTGGTTTAACTCACCTGCCCCCAGTGGAATTATGCATATATCTAACTGTTTATCCCCACCCTGTGTCTCCACAGCAACACGGAGCGTCAAGATGAAGAAGAAAGCTCGGCAGCACCGGGTTGCGGTGCCGCAGAGGCCGCCGTCTCCCATCAAGCCTTCACCCAACAAGCAGATCTTGACTTACGCCCAGGCTCAGCGCATGGTGGAGTTCGATATCGACGGACGCGTCCATCGGGTCAGCGTATATGACAAGCTGGACGTGATCTCGGATGATGACCCCATGGTGCAGGAGATGATGGAGTGCACCAGCAATAAGGAGAATGCTGAGAAACCCCAGCAGCAGGTCCTCCTGAGGTCAGTCAGACTAAAAAACAACCAGGAGAAGAGAAACGCAGCACTGGGCATCACTGGTCACGGAGAGGGAGGTGGACATCAAGCCGGCGTTAATGCAGGACCAAAGCTTCCAGAGCCTAAATTTCGTACAGTGGAATATAATCTTCCAGCAGTTCCTAAGCGTGGAGCTGCCTTTTATAAATACACAGAGAAGACAGAGGAAGAGCTGGATGAGGAAACAGAGTATGACATGGACGAGGAAGATTATTCCTGGCTGGAGTTGGTTAATGAAAAACGGCGAAGCGAAGGGGTCAGTCAGGTGTCTCACAACGTCTTTGAGTTCCTTGTGGACCGCTTTGAGAAAGAGTTGTACCTGGAGAGTCTGGATCAAGGCAGTGAAAAGCAAGCTCCTATTGATGAGGACGCCGTCTGCTGCATCTGCATGGATGGAGAGTGTCACAACAGCAACGCTATCCTTTTTTGTGACATGTGCAACGTGGCTGTGCACCAGGAATGTTACGGTGTGCCCTACATTCCCGAGGGCCAGTGGCTCTGCAGACATTGCCTCCAGTCATCCACCCAGCCCGCAGACTGCATACTTTGTCCGAACAAGGGCGGAGCAGTGAAAAAGACAGATGATGACCGCTGGGGCCACGTGGTGTGTGCCCTCTGGGTCCCTGAGGTCGGCTTCTCCAACACCACCTTCATAGAACCTATTGATGGCATCAGCCACATTCCTCCAGCTCGCTGGAAGCTCACCTGCTACCTCTGCAAGGAGAAAGGCGTCGGGGCATGCATCCAGTGCCACAAAGCCAACTGTTACACCGCCTTCCACGTCAGCTGTGCCCAAAAGGCTGGCCTCTTTATGAAGATGGAGCCAATCAAAGAGGTAACGGAAACAGGAGAGCCCACATTCTCTGTAAAAAAGACAGCCTACTGTGGAGCTCACACACCTAATGGGTGTGTAAGGAGGCCTCTTACAATCTATGATGATGCCAAACCCAAAAACGGACTATGTAAGAAGGTGGACAAAGGGAGAGGTACAGGTAAAGGACAGTCAAAAGGGAAGCAGAAGAAGAAGAGTAAGAGTAAGAAGCCTGAGCCTGAGCCTGAACCTGAAATTGAGGAGCCAACCCCTGCTACTGTGCCTACTTTTCCTGCTCACAGGTATACTTACGGGTTTATTAATGATGGTGGTGTAGTATTTCTTTCGTTAGGATGAGATATCAGTTACTATTTACAGCATAGCGTGTGATTGGTGATATAGGGAGGGCTTTTCTGTCTTCCTTAAGGACACTGATAAGACATGCAGTTGTTGATGGGCAAACATTGACTGTTGCAGGATTTGAGCATGTGACACAGGTGATTGTCTTCACAGATAGAAGTTTCAGTGATCTACTTGAATGCATTTGGTCAGTATGCTAGTCAAATGCTGGGTAGATTTTGTCTGTCATTGTTTTAAAAAAAGAAATCATCCTGCAAGCAGCTTGTGACCTTTGAGATGTGCTATTTGTTGGTCTCTCTCCCTGGCAATACACGCCTAATACCCGTCTTCCTCGGCTCCTCTAGGTTACAAACTATTATGAACCAGGTGTCAGTCCAGAAGAAGAAAGCCTTTGTGGAGCTGGTCCTAAATTACTGGACACTAAAGAGGCAATCCAGGAATGGGCTTCCCCTCATCAGACGCCTTCAAACAAGCCTGCAGTCTCAGAAGAATGCACAGCCGGTTTGTTCATCTGTCAGTCAACCACAGAGGGCTTTCAGTCTTCATTTTCCCCTTTACCAAAGTACCAGTAGCTTTTAGAACTTGAAATATGTGTTTGTAGGTTTGCATACAGCCAGTCATTTTCACACACTTTGTTTACATTTTAATGTTGGATCCTTTTAAATTCTTGTCTGTTCCTTAATGTATGTAATTTTTTTTTATTTCAATGTGTTCTCCAGAGGCAGAATGAGGAGGAGAGCAGGGCACTGAAGGACCAGTTAAAGGAATGGCATCGTCTCCGACACGACCTAGAGAGAGCCCGGCTGCTGCTGGAGCTAATCCGCAAGAGGGAGAAGCTCAAGAGGGAAGAGGTAGGAGTGGAGAAATCAACAAGTAAATGGGCAGACTCCTGCCTGAACCTGCAGTCTGAGAAATTCTGCGAAATAAATGAAACAATCTGATCTTCTAAATGGTTTCCCTCTGTGCGGTGCTGTAGATTAAACAGCAGGAAACCCTCCTAGAGATGCAGCTGACTCCCTTCAGTATATTGCTCAGAGCCCTCTTGGACCAGCTCCAGGCAAAAGACCAGGCCCGGATCTTCACCCAGCCGGTTGATGTCAGTGAGGTGAGTTTGTTGTGTGTGTGCGCAAAAGTTGAAAATCGTAGCTTTGTAGCAGGGAGATAGACCAAGGAAACACAAATACATACTTCTTGTTTGATAAGCCTTTAAACTGGACTTGCTGGTACAAAACAGCAGGTCTGTTTGACTGGTTTTTCTACCTGATTGCCAGGTAACTTCTCAGAAATGTTGAAATGATGGCATGAATGATGGTGTGAGCCCTGACACACCAAGTGGGCCTACTGGCACATGTAAAGGGAGAATAATCACAGACAGTGGTCTCTATTTTATCTCCACACATTCGTTAAAAGTTGCATTCCAACACACCACAGCCAGCAGACGACTGGTAGCTGCATGTCACATGGTCTGACTATGGTGACTCAGGTTATAAATTAACCCCCCCCCTCCATGTGTGGACAGGGTTGAGCAAAGTGACTTCCTGGTAGGGTGAATGTGTGACTTGAGAGTAAGGTTTCTTGGCAGATGTCTGTAAAATGTGAGGTGTGTGCACATGCCCGGCTAGCTCAGTCGGTAGAGCATGAGACTCTTAATCTCAGGGTCGTGGGTTCGAGCCCCACGTTGGGCGTCAGCTTTTGACTCCAGACTCCATTACATTACTAGTAGACCATTCATTTGAATTTTTCTTGGTTAGCTGAGCATTTGTGATAATGTGTTCTAATGTGGTCTACATATACAGACCTGATCAACTCAATGTTCTGCCCACAGCACAATCTGATTGGTTACACATCACAAGTAATAGCCTATCAACACTGAAAGCTGCTGTGCCACAGATGGGCACACACTGGAGTTGCTCTGGTGTGACTAAAGACTGCAGATATTTCCAAAAGTTACAATAAACACTCACAATCACAATCCTATCATCTATTTCTGTGATGACAAGCATGTCCAGTTCCCCAGTTATACCACTAAATATTTCTAAAGCCACAGCCTATGGGATTTTAGTCAATGGAGAAAGCAAAAAAATGACGTTGTTTAAATCAGTCACTCTTCTCTAACCCAATAATTGTGATTTAGAGTCAAACAGCAGGCATCTATTTTGTCTTTTACTAGTCCAGAGTTCACATTAAACCGCCCGTATAGATCAACTATGACCTGTTGCGTCACTACTTGCATGTACTAGTTCTGTCTGGGTGTATCTGGTCTTGTGTTGGTGAAAGCATTGGTAACTTGAGAGCAAGGTCCACTGGAAGAAGTCTGTAAAAGGTCAAGGGTTTCTCTTTTTAAATGCCCGGCTAGCTCAGTCGGTAGAGCATGAGACTCTTAATCTCAGGGTCGTGGGTTCGAGCCCCACGTTGGGCGTCAGCGTTTTATTCTGGACTCCATTAACTTACTAGTAAATTATTAATTATCTTGGTTAGCTGTTGTCATGTTGTTAAATGTTGTTACTGCACTTTACAAGCATGTTGCTGTACTGTTGTGTGAAATGAACTGTGGCCGACTGTGCTCTGTGCATATAGAGGACGCACAAGGTCTTGTATATGATGCCATTGCTCATCATTAGGGAATCCAAACAAGTTGGGTTATCTTAAATATATGATTGAAATGAGCCCCTTTAGCCTACTGTTAAGCGATAGAGAAGAGTCAGTCATACAATCTGAAGGGCAGATAGGAAAGGTCTGGGTCATATGGTCAAATCATTCATTATATATGCTGTTTCCTGTAGGTGCCAGACTACCTCGATCACATCAAGCACCCGATGGACTTCTCCACCATGCGGCAGCGCATCGATGCACAGGGCTACAACAACTTGGATCAGTTTGAGAGCGACTTTACCCTCATTATTGATAATTGCATGAAATATAACTCGAAGGACACCTATTTCTACCGGGCAGCCATTCGCCTACGTGACCAGGGTGGGGCCCTGCTTAGAAAGGCCCGGCGAGACGTGGAGAGAATCGGCTTTGACACAGAGAGTGGCATGCATCTGCCCGAAGCTCCTGAAATCAAAGCCACTCCATCCTTTTCTTGGGAAGACGGTAAGGGCAGTAGCGAACACACGTCTTTCTGATGTGTCTGCATCATTAGAGTTGGGGCAAATGAATGAGAAATATTCGTAAAATGTGTTCAGAAAACCCACGTTTCAACCTTTTTACTAATGAGTTAATTCTCTCCTTAGTGGACCGCCTGCTAGTGCCAGCCAATCGTGAGCATCTTTCTCAGGAAAAGCAGCTGCAGCAGCTACTGGAGAAGTTTGACCTGACCTGTGCCATGAAGTCCAGCCCCTCCCGCAGCAAGCGCCTAAAGCTACTCAAAAAGACCATCAACGATGTGCGCAATGAAATGAGCTTAAAGAGAGTCCATCCCTCCCACCACCACCACCACCACCATCACCACCACCACCACTCTTCTTCCTCCACAACTCCCTCCACATCAGCGTTGTCTTCATCATCTGCCTCCCACCCAGAGCATAAAAAGAAAGAAGAGAGATTGAAACCCAATGGACATTTTCCAGATGACGAGGGTATGTATGCATCTTAGCTTTGGCTTTATGAGCAGGTTTTCTCTGGAGCCTCTGTGATTTTTAAAGAGAACCACATGTCCTTTAATATCCTGAAGTGCAGGTCAGAGATTAGCCCCCAACCCAAAACATAGCCCCACAGAGCAAAGTCACATGCTGTTCCCCAAATCCAGTGCGTCTTACGCTAGACTGGTTCCAGACCTCTGAATTGCCTCTCACACGTCAGGTTCGAAGACAATGACATTATCAGGCTACTATAACACATAATCAACAAGCCATGAGAGATTGTGTTGAGGTAAGCATGAGTCTGCTGTTTTGGGGAAATTTGCTAAAACACTACAGAATATCCTGGACAGCAGATCCTTTGATAGTGAACATTGACCTTTATTTCCCAAAGCAAGAATCAAGAAAGCCAAAACCACCTTAATTATGTTATTAACTGATAAAACCACTGGATGTTAATAGGATTATTAGTGCTAATGGTATTTGCTAATGGCTAATGAGATTTTTCAGCAACATCAACACATACTTTACGTATATAAGTATGTGTATTTGACAGAGAATGAGCCGTTCATTGCCGGTGGAGCAACAGCAGGTTTTGTCCAAATGGCACTATTTATTTCTCTCAAACAAGAGAACTTCTCCTCAACCATTCACACAAACTCTCACATATGACTGATGGTTAAACTGAAACTTGTTCTCACTGACACACAAGACCTTTAGTCAACTCCTAATTTCAAATCACAGAACCAGACAACTTTAAGATCAAATAGATGTGACGGTTGTGCTCTGGCAGCGGAGGAAAAAAAGTGTTACTGGTGAATCCTAACAGCATTCTTATATCTCTCTGTGGAACGGATCCCTGAATAGATAGCATTATAATGAGCTAGTGGGGGAAAGAGAAAGGGGAAAAAGTAATTTCGCTCTCATTTTTTATTTATAAAAGTGCCTCAGTGTTATGCTAAACAGCGCCTTGTTTTACTTTTATGATAAACCCAAAAGCCATATGATAATGTGCTGTGTCAGCATTTCTACAAACACAAGGACAAAGTGCGGATTCTGCAGCGCATTACTGTTGGTAATAGTGTTGTTCTGTAAGTCATATTTCTTGTCTTGTCATTTTGTCATATTGTTTATGTTTTTACATTTTATGAATAGCTTTTTTTTTGTTGTTGTTCTTCCAAAGATTTCATTATGTTGTTTTGCGTAGCTAATCCTTTACCACAAAAAACGTATTATACTTTATTTCTACCGCACCATGAGGAAATAGTAATGATGATGAAAGAGAAAGGAAAATACATTAATAGAAGTAATAAAACCTAAAAAGGAGTTGGCATTAACTGTAAGAACAGCCTGTGTGCCACAACATGAATAATGTTATACTTTGTGGTGGCAGTTTGAATGATTAATGTTGACTCTATAGTCAAAACTACAACTATGAACTGTTTGTGTACTTTTTCTTTTCTTTTCCCCCACAGGAGACAAGTCTCTTCCTCCCAAACTGGAGCATTCAGACTCCATCCCTCCCCTCATCCACTCAGACACAGACCCCGAGCCCCCCACCCTCAAACCAATCGACGCCGCCCCGGACTGCGAAGACAAGACTCTCAGCAAGCGAGTCAAGTTTGACGGGGAAATACCAGACCTGCTCTCCTCTACCCCCCACCTCAACGGTTACTCCCACGACAGCCTCCAGAACTCTTTGCTGGATGGAGACGTGAGCGTGGTTGCCACGTCGACCCTTGCGGAGCCCACGGGCGCGGTCAACCGCCGCACCTCCGTGCTCTTCCGCAAGTCGAAGACGGCCAGCCCCCACAAGCCCCCGAGGAGCGGAGACGAGGGGGCCGATGGAGTTGAAATAAAAGAAGGCATGGAGGAGGAAGATGAAGATGGCGCGCAGCTGGGCTCCAAATCCTTCCTGTCGGTGGTCATACCCAGGCTGGAGACGCTACTACACAGCAAGAAGAGGAAGCACAGTGGCAGTAGAGACGGCGAGGAGGAGAGGGAGGGAGGAGAGGGAGAGCATGAAGAGGAGGGGGAGTCCCCTGTGAAACGACTTGACACTGGTAAGAAGTGTACAGAGAGAAAAACTACGGTGATTAAAAAAGAAAAAAAAAAAAGCTGTCAATATTTTCACCATCTCGAGCAGTTTCACAACTTTCTGCATGGCTAAACATTTCTTCGATTTAGCGTATGTTACACTTTGACTGGCATGTTCAAGGCTCTGATTAAATTAGTAGAACAGTATTTAGGCCTGCTGCCAACCCCTGAAACTGGCAGTGCAAACATTGTAATGAGCTGTTACGCTGCTTACAAGTCATCACAACAGACTTGTTTACTCTTTTACACCAGTTTGTTTAAATTAGAATAGCTGTTGATTGAACAACCTGTATCATTCCACAAGAGCTGCATGGGATTCTGGTTTTAGAGCATTCGTAATGTGTGTTTTCCTGATTTTGTGTTGTCGTATCTCAGGCCTGTCAAGCGGTTTTCTGGAGGTGGAAGAGGAGAAGGAGCTAGAAGACTCCAGTCGAGCCAGTAGACCTGTGGAGCCACGAAGACGCTGTGCCTCTGAGTCCTCCATCTCCTCGTGTAGCAGCCTTCCAGGAAGCACCAGGTAATCCACCAGAACACGTCTAGCCTTGTGATCAAATCAAAATAAGATTTGACTCAATAGCAGGGCCTAAAGACGGCGATGCCAGCTGGTCTGTCTGTTCTTCCAGCCTTCTATTTTTCAATTAGCTGGTTGTCCAACACTGGTCCAAGCTGTCATCAGCCCCAGATGATTTGTCTCTAATGGTGACTCCTGTGTGTCTGTTTTTTTGTTTCTAGCACTATTCTCAGTCTTCCAAAATGTGGGAAGGGGAAACCCGCCTTGGTCCGGAGAAACACTGTGGACGATAAGAGCGAATTAATCGCCTGCATCGAAACCGGCAATTTTGCAAAAGCTGCTCGAATCGCTGCCGGTAAATTGGCTGCATTATATGTCAAAAAATAATCTGCATGCGTGTGTGAACATTAGGTATACAGATTACCTATTTTATTCACCATTGCAAATTAATATACAGTAAAATATTGATATTTAGTTGATTTTATGAAACTTTAATGCTTCACTTATTTTTAGGTTGATACAGACAACTCATACAGTAAACATGTTTTGCAAGATGTATCTAGGAAAGCTATTTGACACATTTAAAACAATTCACTTTATCAAAGAAAACATTTAATGAGAGACTACAGTAACAGTTTAACATCAGTAAAACCCAGCTGGACTGCCAATTAATAGAACAAATGGTCAAATATACTTAATACTATGTGTTGCAATTTCTTTTAGAATATCAGCCAAAATATACACCCATACTTATACGTGTGTGTTAAGCCAATGTCAGTAGTTCACTATCAGTCAATTTAAAACAAAACACAATATTTATTTGCACTCAGACTAAGTAATACAGTAAGTAGTATGTGTATATTCCTGGATGTCTGCAGGTCCTCTAAAATCTTCAAATCTTCTTCATCAGAGTTTACGTTTCCTGTTGAACGGGAGAATTGGCCATAAATGTAATTTTAGTTTCAGAATCAATTTAGCCTGTAACTATAACTTGCAGACACCTGGTATTCATACACACATAAAGAAAGCAGGGTTGGAAATTAACAGCAGCTACCAGCCAACTTCTTGTGACTTCTGGCACTGACCGGTGAGTCTTTACACTCTGCCTGCCATCATGGCATGAAACCAGTAAGCATCTGGAGGCTCTTCCCTCATCTAAAATTCATATTTGGCTAATAAATTGCTTAAAGTGGCTGATAGGTTTTAATATCTGTCGTTCACTTGTGGCTCTTAAAGGGGAAAGTTAATTTCCCACCCTGTGTACTCCTGCACTTGGCAAAGCACGGCTTTGGAAATGTGTTTCTGTCTGTGTTTAAACCCACACATAACTTGTTTGGTGTTGTTCCCGCTTCCATAGAGGTTGGCAACAGCAATATTTGGATGCCTGCTAGTGCTGCAACAGTTGCATTGGAACCCCTAAAGCTAGTTTGGGCCAAATGTAGTGGATACCCTTCCTACCCTGCCTTGGTGAGTGTTTGTGGGAAAGAAAGCATGACCATCACTGACTAGTCTTTTTACTCTGATGTTTCCTTGTCATCTCTTCACATTGAGACACATTGGAACCTAATTATGACACTCTTGTCCCACAGGATGAAGCAATAGTTTTACTACAGCTGTTCTTTTTGGTGTCTAGTGGACAGTTTCGGGGGGGGGAAAGCCCAGTTTTTATGTCATTTTTTTCCTCTAGGTGGCAGCCTTTCACTGTTAACCAGTTTAATTTGACCTTAGCATGAAAGGACAAATGAGGAAAAAGAATCTTATTGCCACAAGCTGGCAGTGTGCATGCATTTGTATGCGTGTGTATGCGGTATAGACATCTTTACTCTATGCTTGAGTGATTCTCTGGGTTAATGTATGTTTGTCTCGCGCTTGCATTCATAAGCACAAGTGCCTAACTCCCCTCTCGCCTCTGTGTAGATCATCGACCCCCACATGCCACGTGTGGGCTGCCAGCACAACGGGGTGTCCATCCCCATGCCCCCCATGGACGTGCTCCGCATTGGAGAACAGATGCAGTACAAAGCCGAAGAGAAACTCTACCTCGTCCTCTTCTTCGACAACAAGCGCAGCTGGTGAGTGCCCCTATCTTGCGGGAATGATTTAAACTGCTACAGGTTTCTACAAGGGTAAAACCTGTCAACCTGTCTGTCAGCTGATCATTATTCTCTTGTGGCTGCGTGACAGCAATTGTCCAGAGACGACAAATGGCTTTCTTTGAAGATTTCCACTGGACTCTCATCACTTGGAAAATGTTTTCTAACCTTTAATAATGATGATGGTTCTGTAGCCTTTGTGTACTGCTAACTGGCTTTTTATCTGCTACTAGGAAAGAATAATCCACATCTTGGAGCTGAAACTAAAGAAATGTACCAAAAGGATATAAGACAAGTAAAAAAATATAACTGAAAACACCAGTAAATAATGCAAAACAAGCCATTTGAATTTGACAAAACTTTTGGCTTACTCTTGGTATTATAACTGGATCAACTTTCCTGCAGCAGTTCCTTCCAGTTCTGTTTCATGCTAGTGCTACTTTTTGAATCATGAAAACTACTGTTCAGGTGTTGTAATATAGATGCTGTCTTATTACCCCCCCTTCAGGCAGTGGCTTCCTAGATCCAAGATGGTTCCTCTGGGAATGGACAAAACCATAGACAAAATCAAAATGATGGAAGGACGCACATCCAGCATTCGCAAGGCTGTCCAGATCGCCTTCAGCCGCGCCATGAACCACCTGAGCATAGTGCAGGATGAGCCAGTCAGCGACCTCAGTGACGTGGACTGATGACGTTCGACTCTCTCCCCTCACAAACACACACACACACACACACACACACACACACAAACTTGTACCTCTCCTGTACCAAAAACCTTCCTCCATCCTCCCCCCCCGCCACCTTCTCTCTGTCTCTGCAGGAGACTCAAATGTTTACTGGGCACCTGCTGTAACAGGTGGTGTCTCTTCCTCATCCATTCCTACTCGCACACACTCCTACCATGTGCCGATGGGATACGGCTGCTGCTGAAATGAATGTGTCTATCTATCCTCTCCACCTCCAGGCTTATAACTGTGCTTAGAGACTGCTCTTTTTTTGTCTGCCCCGCCCCTTTCCCCTCACTCCACCAGTCGTTTTTATTCATCATTTTAAGGCAAAAAAACAAAACAAACGTGTGTACATTGTGGTATTTTGGCCTTACCAAATGTGTCAGGACTTTGCAGTAAGAACCTAAAAACCGACTCTTCCATGTTCACTGCACCGTTTTTTTTAAAAACTCTGTTATTTTGGCAGGTAGCCGATCATCATTTCCGTTACAAGCTGTTAAAAAAAAGAAGCATCTAGTAGCTGGTAAATTTGCTAAAGCGGACAAAAACGTACATTTCCTGCCTACATGAAGGCTTTTCTGTTGTGTTGTAGCCAAAGGGTTCGTTTATGTCAAGGTCACATTTACATATTGGTCGTCTCCATTTACAAATATTCTCCTTTGTATTTAAACTGTAAATAATCTGTACAGTTGCCTGACACTAACTTATTTTGTAGTTTTGACATAAATGAGTACTGTACAGGAGTTTTTCTTAGTATTTATACTTGATGCATTCTTGCCACTGAGGAGTGAGTGCTATTTTGACAGTGCTGTATGATCTGGAAGAATAAAAAGTGTGAAAGCCTTAGTATTAAGGAGATTAGGGCTAAAATGTTGTGTTTCTGCAAAGTATGAAAGTATTCCCTTTTTCATTTTTTTTTTTTAAGTTATTGAAGTTTATAATCGTAAGCTTCCATTTGGCATTAATCCTTTTTGTATAAAAAAAAAAATAGTTTTCGTATATTTTTGTTCATATATATTTATATGATTTGGATACACGGTAATACAGTATGTAATGTCTCTGCAGTTCATACAGGCAGTCTGATGTTGTGGACACGGAACGTACATTGTTCTCAAGAAACCAAAAATGTTGCTACCCAGAAGTTTTTTGCTGATTAATTTTCTGTGTGATGTGTGAAATTGTTGCCAAAAAAAGTTAAAAAAAAGTAAAAGTGTATTTTTATGTGATACATTCGACTGTTACTTGGTTTCGCTGTAGTCGTAGGGAGATGTGCCTGCGTTAACTTATTGTAAAGTATTTGCATTACTTTATATTCAAGGAAAGACGTGCAAACTGATTGTGGTAAAGTGGCACATTTTGTGGTGGATACTTGCCTTCTTTTTAAGTAACCTTTTCTAACTTTTTTTGTAGTCGTAGACTTCAAGACATTTCATTTTATACTCCTACGCCTATTTTTTCTGGGTAGCATTGGGTAGTTTTGGTATATTTCATTTTGTACTTAACTGTAGTAGTTTTTTTAATCAGGTCATACAAAGTATTGCTGGGACTGTTTTTTGTAGCAAATCAAAAAATAAAAGATACAAATATGAATACACGTGCCTCGCCTTACTTTTTTTTTTTAGAGATGTTTTTTTTTCTTGTTTCTTCATGTTTTGTGTCTCTTAGTGACAGTGCAGTGTTCAGAATTGAATAGAATTAAATTAATTTAATGTTCCACTTTATTGTTCTTTTAAAATTTTTACTTCAATTTGTTACATATTTGAGCCTTGGACACAAAAGGACTGTGCCTCCTTCATGGTTGGCAGAATGCATACACTAATTCAACCTACTACCTGCCATATGGCACTGTACCCTGCTCATCTACTCCGCTTATAATTGTCCACTTACATTGAAAATTGTGTCCTATAGCTTGCCAGCTACATAATATCGGCTGCAGAGAAGGCCCAGCTTATGCACTGTGGCAAAACACATCACTTATATTGCATGAACCAGACCCGATCTTGCAAGGCTGTTGGGCACTTTGCATGTGCTGATTAATCTAAAATAGGATTTATTGTGTTAGAGCTGGCCGTTATCCTCACCCGCCATTTTTGTTTATTATTATTTTGATTCTGTCACTTTTTTGGCATCTAATTACTCAAAAATGATTTGTGCAACAAAAAAAATCAAATGAATATAAAATTGTGCAGCTCATTGAGCAGATGTGGGCTATTACTTTGGTATGTCAAGCGTATTCCGACAATTTTATATGAATTTTTGAAGATCATAATTTTAGAATGGAAGTATATAATGGAGGACACAATTCAGACTTGCTCAGCTTTGAAAGTAAACTGCCCTGACGTACGTGCAGCTATAGAATGTGTTCAAACTTTAAAGTTCTCATGAAACTTTGAACTTTCAAAAATTGTAATCTGTGTGTTGATTACAACCAATTTAAGTCAAGTGTCTGTTACAGCCATTTTGAGAGTTGATCGGTGTGTCATGTCATTTAAACTGCTTTGTCAGACAGTTTAAAGCTGCAGTAGGTAACTTTTATAAAATAACTTTTTGTCATTATTGCTGAAATTTTCACTGTGTTTTGACAGTAGTACAAGAGACGGATAATATGTGAAAAAAATCAGGTTCCCCTGGCTTGTTTTGTGCTTCTAATAGCATTTGCAAGAATCCACCGGGTCCGGACAAAAATCAACCAATCAGAGCTGAGAAAGACATAAAGACGCTTTGGGGTGGCAGCTTGAAGATAGTTCATTGTTGAGTCTGATTCCCAGGGTCCCAAAATGTCTTTCTTTGACACCCAGTGAATTAAACTCAACAATCAACTATCTCTGATTGGTTGTTTTCATTCAGGCCATTAGGAGCATTAATGAGGAGCCAGAGGAACCTGATTTATTCACAGATTATCTGTCTCATGTACTGCTGTCAGCATATAGTGAAATATTTTTTGTAAAAATTATCTATTGCAGCTTTAAACTCTACAAACATAGAATACCTTCAAATGTAGCCACAAGCCTCCTTAATCGACAGGTAGAGCACTGTCGAGCTCTCATTCACTATATTTAAACTGCAGGCTGACTCCTTCACGCAGCATGCTCCTTGTTAATCAGCCATTTTTAGTTAGAATTTTTAAGATATTCTTAGTTTGAGATATTCCCTCTCGTTCATGAGCTATAATCTTAAACTGTGAGCAATGACACCTGTTTTTCTCCAGTAAATGCAGCTGTTCTAGTGTCAATACGCCTTCAGGTAACAGTGGCCGCTGCAGCTCGCCAGCTCTCACACACATTTTCTGAATTTCCAAAATTAGGCTCAAGCTGAAAAAATTGATGGTTACTAGTAAGCACATAAGGTAGGATTTTAGAGGTAGGTTTATACAGCCTCAGGAGCTATATTAATGTAATCATTACAGTTCTTCCTCTCTGGTTCCCAAGATAGATTTTTGTGCTTTTTTTTGTGCTCAGGAGATATTTCACTACTGACTATACAAACCTGTAGCTAGTGATGATCAGGACCTCCCTAAACCTGTGGTCCTTTACTTGAGTAAAACTACCAATACAACAATCTAAAAGTACTCCATTACAAGTAAAAGTCCCGTATTTAAACTCCTATAGTAAAAGTACAGGAGGGTTCTCAGTAAAATACACTTAAAGCATCAAAACTAAAACTAAAAATGGCCCCTGTGTCTGATATTATTGTATTGTTACTAACGCATCAGGGTGTAAGCAGCATTTTGCATCAGACATCAGAAACAAGACAAGGGGCACCTATAAACACTGGTGGAATATAATGAAGTACATTTACTCAAGTACAATACTCATGTATAAATTTGAGATACTTGTACTTCAGTATTTCCATTTTATGCAACTTTATACTTCTTCCACTACTTTTGTCTGACCTTTCTTCCTTCCTGTCCAGTGAAAACCATTTTTTCTGGAATTTTCCTGATAAACTGAAGGTTCAGTGTTTATTTGTCATTAAAAAAAACATCCTACTTCTTAATATGAACAAGCTCTTTAAACCCTATTGAATTAGCTGGCAATGACACAGGTCTATTTTTCTGAGCTCATGGAAAGTTGACGTTCTGAGATGTGAGGATACAAACATATGATGGTTTTAGATAAAATGATGCATTGCTGTAAATGAATAGAATTCGAACCATAAACATCTACAGCAGTAATATGAATTCGGACACATTATATGTGATATTAAAACCATAATGAGTACTTTTATTTTTGATACTTTAAGTACATTTAGCTAATAATTCTTAAACACTAGTATTTCATAAGTGAAATAAATGTAGGGAAGTAAAAATATTTAGAATATTTCCTTCTGAAATGCACTGGAAAAAAAGTATAAAGTAAAAGAACAGAGTAGAGTCCCTCCCTCCTCATGCTAACTGAGAGCTGCAAGTTTGCCATTAACTCAACGGAAAGAGGCTGTCGTTCTCAACCTGTCCACCGAGTGGCGCTGTGGCTCCACATAAAACCCCCCCTCCATGTCGCCGGGACCCCGTTGAGGAACCCAGCGTACCTCGAGCGTCCACCTGTTCAGCTCTTCATAACCCCCCCCCACTCAGGTAGGCATCAGTATTCAGCCTATAAACCGTTTTCATCACTGTGTTCAAATGGTGAATGCACCGATTAGAGAGAATGTCAATTAATACTAAATCAGTTTGAAGACATGGCTGCTGGTCTGCCCCCCCCTCACCAACCCCCTCCCTCCTCGAGCCCAGCTAAAAGTCTGCTCGTGCCAATCACTGACCATCTCTCTTTACCCCCTCCTCCCTCCTCCCTCCTCCATTTTCTTTTTCTTTCTCCCTGGCAGAGAGTGGGCGGACGTTTCTCCTCTTAAGTGTTGTATTTGTTCATATGCTAATATTCAGATGAAAAGTTAGCTAACAGAGACGGAAAGGCTGGAAATGCGTGGGCGGGGGTTGAACCCGCACCGTCACACTTGGGCTCATTCACAAGAGTGCATCTTTTTAAAAGGCCAAAAAAAAAAACAAAAGAAAAAAAACGAGGCACGTCTTAGATGCAAATTCGGATGAAAAACTGTTGAAATATGCATTTTTACTTAAGCCAATTCAGCTTCTGTTATTTCCAGCTACTGACATTCAGAGAGGTAAAGTAGCGTTATGTGGGATTAAATGAGCTAGTAATGGCCCTGTGATATAGAAAGCCACCTTCAAGCCTCTGTTTGAAAGACATCTCCCATCTTTCTAAACAATTGGAGCTAATGTGGCCGCACGCAGACACGCAGCAGACTCCATCCCTCTCTCCTTCTCTCTCTTTTTTGTCTGTCTGTCTTTTCTCCAGATACTAATTGTGTGGGGAGGTAAACACAGCAGTCAAGTGGAGAGGACGGCGAGTCAAGCGTGAATATCAATCTCCCCACATCAGTGTCATCAGATGACTTTGACTGAGTTGAGGCGGGCTCATTAGAGTGGTGGAGCAGGGTGCCCGAGGGCTGCAATAACATCCAGGTGAAGGGTGTGGGTGTGTGTGTGGGTGGGTGTGTGTGGGGGGGGCTCTGAAGTTATGGAAGCCTGCAGAGCTCCACCAGTTAACAGGTGAGCGTGTGTGTGTGTGTGTGTGTGTGTGTGACAGGGGATGTATAATCCAACCCCCCCCCTGCACAGAGGTGTCACCAGGGTTCAGGGAGGAAGTGTCACGTTCCCACACAGATGCACTCCTCGGCATGAATTCCACGAGCAGGTGAGGCACACGGAAGCGCACAAGCTCATGACTGTAAATGTGCACGTGTGTATTCCATATTCATGCGAGTGGTTATTATGAACTTGTGCCACCAGCAGTTGTCTCTGGGCTGCCACGTCATGGGGGGGGGTGACAGCAAGAATTGCCTGGGTTGCACACTAGTGTCAGTGCCTGGCAACTAATTCTTGATAACTTTTCCTCAGCGTTCCAAGATAATGGCGATAAGAAGAGGAGGGGGGAGTGCTTTTCTTAGATTTTCCTGGCGTTTTTGACTTTTCTCACCAGATTACACCGAGCCACGATGCTGCTTTCATTGTACACCAGAGCCATTGTTGGTTTTCTGATAATAAACCCAAGGCAGAGATTGAAGAAATTGTTAAAAAAAAACCCATTATCTAGTCTTTCAAATGGGAGCCTTTGCTGCTTTTCCGTATTTTTTAATCTTTGTTAACTGAATGTTTTTAAGTTTTTGACATTTAAAGACGAAAAAGAGCCAAAATATTTATCTGCAATAAAATGTCTCTCTGACATATATATTGAATATCAGCTTGTTCCAGCTCTTTCTTGAAGCTCTATGTTAGCTATACCCAAAAGATTTTTTTCTGGCTGGTAATATTCTATGTCTTGAGCATTATTTTATACACCTTGCCTCCAAATTCAGCCTGACAGATTTAGTGTCTTTGGAGACTCTGGGCCCTCCACTCACATATAAAATAAAGTTCTGCAGGTTTAAGCAAAGATTTTGAATTAGTTTGAGGGATCTATTTGTGAGTCAACAGGGGACTGAAGAGGTTAAACATGTTTTCACCTTGAATTTAAGACAAAAAACTAAACTAAAACTAAAACTGCAGCTGAGACTCGTCTTATTTGTGACAGGAA